ACCCAAATTACTAGTAGTTGTGTTTTGAGCTATATCTTGTGCAATTTGATAAGATTTTAGCTAAGACCTTCTAAGAATGTTTATTTTTATATTACTAAACTTTATATATAAGTTTTTTGATATTTGGGCTTTGATGTTGTGAGATATGAAGAAAATAGTACTTAGGTGCTTGTGAATTAGGGTTTTAGAGTACCTACTAGGGTTTTTAAGATGTCGGACGATTGATGGCGAATTTATAGTTGAATTTTTGTAAAGTAAAGCTTAAAGGTGAATTCTATAATATCGGTAAATTTGGCAAAATCTGAATAGTTGAATCAAGTGATATGAATTTCTAAAGTTTGGAAAGAAGAAATCCTTTGTGGGAATATTATATTTTGAAGGAATTTTATTATAACTTGAGAATTTTATGCAAAATAAAGGAGTATTTTAGGATCCAAGACTTTGTATATATATATATATATATATATATATATATATTCATTGAAGATGGATATATAGAGCTATAGTTGAATTTTGTATAAAGATGAGTTTTTGAGAAGAGCTTGTGGATTTCTTTTGAAGTTATTGAAAATCTAATCTATCAGCAAATGGTTAGCTATGATTTGGTATAGTGAAGAATGTTAGAAAATTTCTAAATATTTTAGAAAGCCTTATATACAAACCTTCTTAAATATAAAAAAGATTATTAGTATAATATCTTTTTGATATTGTAGTATTCATTTGTCTTTTACTTTTAAGGTTAAATAACTTATTAAAGCTTGGCCAATAAGTTAAAACTAAACTCTCTACATCTAGGTATCCAATGTATTCGCAAATAGAAAATCGACACCATTGTCATATGGCATGATTTGTAATTTGAGAATATACTTGATACTTACTTGTAAAGAATTTAGCTTTGGCTAATATATGATGTCTTGTTTCTCCAAAAAAAATTCTTTATCTTGTACAAAAATTTAAATTATAATAAAATCCTTCAAAATATTTTTTTTTTACAAAAGAAGTTTTTATTGTGAAATTTAAAAATTTATATCTCATGATCCAACTATTCAATTTTTTTCAAATTTTTATTTAACATAGATTCTATCTTTAAGCTTTATCACAAAAAAAATGAATAACAAATCTACTACTAATCTTCTGACATCTTTAAAACCCTAGAAGATGCTCTAAATCCTAATCTATAAGCACTCAAAAACTATTTTCCTTATATCTCAAAAATCCAAAATTCAAATGCCACAAAATTTATATATAAAGTTTACCAACATAATTACACACATTCTTGGAAATTTTGAGCCAAAATCTCATCAAATTGCTCAAGATATAGCTCAAAATATTATTAGTGAATCGGGTCACTTACTACCCTTAGATTTGCAAGTGCTGATTTCAACTTCCAATATCTCCTTCATTCTAACTTCGAAGCCATCAAAAAATATACCAAAACTATAGCCAAGAAAGTACTCTCTCCAATCCTAGTCGTCAATCCTCTATTCCTTTGTGTATGCATGCATTATACCCAAAAGAGTGATAGTAGATACAAAATTGACACCTCGACTTTGAGCACCTATATCTCCTTCATAAAAACTCTAATTGACTCAAAATTTGTACCAAAACTATAGCCAAAAATCTGAAATTATTGACCTTAGCCTCCAAAAGCTCGAATGCCCTGAAAGTGTAATCCTAATCCCTAATATGGCCTCAGACAGCCTCCTTAAAGTCCATTGGCTATGATTTTTGACCAATAGGAATGGAGATTTTCATCATCTATATAGATATCCTAAACTCTCTTTTTGCTACCATAATCTCTCTTTCAATTCTTTTCTTTACAAGATTTACATAATATATGCCCTAAACACCATATAAAAGAAACAAAATAAGACTTTAACGATCACCAATATCTAACAAAGGTGACTCTAAGTGTATGAAGTTACTACCAATAAAACCAACTTCAAAAGACACTATCAAAAGAAAATAAAGTTATATAAATTTTAATAGTAATCATTTTAAACAACCTCATTTTAAAGTAGTAATTTTACCATAGTCTACAACTAATTAAAATCCAATAATATGGCTCTCACTATGTTACTAAATAAATTATACATTAAATATATAAACACATTATTTTTATATGGTAGCTAAACTATGACACAACACCATCACATCTAAAGAGAGATTAAGACCTTAACTAGATATTGTACATGATTCTAACAACGAGTCTCTATTGTAGCTAGAGAAACTTATTTTCTGATATATTGTCTTCTTTGGTAATTGTGCTCCTCATTTTGTAATTGTATTGCTGCTTTGGATAATGTTGAGCAATGTGCTTAGCTTATCTACAATATAAGCATAATTTTTCTTAACAACATTAAATTTTTTCTTGCTATATAAGAGATTTAAAACATATTGTATCAATTTACATTAATTTTAGCCTTAATAAATAAGTTTCTAAAAACTTAAGAGCAACCATCATTACTTGATTAGTTTTTTTCTAGCCAAGTCTTTGTTCTTAGCACCTTTTAAATAATTGATTGTTCTATGAAATGACTTAAGCAATAAATTCTTTCAAAGATTTTGCTTTCAATATTGTCAATAAGAAATATTTGACATTATATTTCAATTCATATTAAAATTGATTAATAAGAGTTTTGTTATTTGAGTCCACATTGCAAGTGAAGTTTTGGAATTCAACAACATATATAGTAATTAACTATGATCCATGTCATAAAGACAAGAATTTATCTTTACTAATTTTTTTAATCATTTTTTCTAAATATAGTTGTAAATACTTATAAAAATGAATTCAAATCATATAAGACTCTTGAATTTTTTTCTATCAAAAGTACAAACTAAAAGAGGGTACTTTCAGATAGAAGTGCGCTTATGAATCCAACTTGAGCAAATCCATCAAGATGTTAGAAGAAATACAAGCTTTCATAGAGTTTGACTTATTGCAAAAATCCTCAAATTTTTGATCTCGTTCAATCAAACTTCTTGAGTATACTAATCCTTATCTATATCATACTTGTAAAAGTAAAACTTCCTAAATTTAAATGTGAGTTTGATTTACTTACTTCTTTCAATTACACAACTTCTTAACATACACTTTCAACTTCTTTCATAGGTATAGGATTAGTATTTTTGTAGTTGGTATTGATAAATGTGAAATTTCCACTTTAAGAGTATTAACAAGTTTGTGAAGATCTACAATAGTTGAAAATCTATTTTCACTTTTGCCAAATATAGCATCCATGATTTTTCCTTCTATTTCAAATAACTTAATAAATCTATAAGTCAAATTAGAGAAGGACAATCTGCAACCTCTAATATCAAATGAAAATTTCTACAAAAAAAAAGTAATCTGCTTTCTTTAAGGAAAAAATCAATGTTGAAAAATTAAATGATTTATTTAAAGGTAGATAATCTTCAACCTTCAAAATACAATAATAAAACTATGATAATCTAGTCACTTCTAAAACAGGACAATAATAATGAATTAGGACTCTTATTAAATTGTCAAAAACATAAGTCTCAAAGAAATAAAATCTCAATACACTCTTATGTTACTTGAAAAGTCTAAGAAATCACTCAAAGATGGTAATATATTGAATTAGAATAGCTGTTGCTAAAGACAAGAAGACTAGAAAGTCTTGAAACAAGACTATGGACTACAAAGGCATTGACAAGAATGAAAAAGGCTTCATTCTTGCTTCTATATATACTTTCTAATTAAGAGCTACATGGAAATATTCTATATGACCTCCAATACATGTTGACTTTGCTGGACACATGACTTAATTTGCAAGGCAAGTTATCTATATGTGCATGACATAGTTGACTTGTTCCACAAGCTACTAGCATGTGTAATATATGGCTAACTTGTTGACCAAGTTTCTAGCCTATCAATTGATTACGAACACGTGTAAAGTCAAAGCAACATCTTTGAAGCTTTTAGGAAGCTTTTCTAAAAGATATTTTGAAATTAATCTATTTTTTCTTACTTCTACTTAAATATAAAGGTAATTATTTGAATAAATATATATACTTGTGATACTTTCTTACTTTTGAATCCAAATTTTTCTTTTACACACCAAAGACATGAACATAGGCTGAACATCCAAATACTTGAAGTCTAGAGTAATCATTAATCTTATTATTATAAATCTCTTCTAGAAACTTGCATTGAATTTTAGTGCATGATAAAAAAATTATCATGTAACATATTATATTTATTACTTCAATTCAAAAGTTCTTTTAAAGCCTTCTATTATTTAACATACAACGTGCCTTCTTTAGCAAGGTTATATTCATCTTCTTAGCTACTCCATTTTTTTGACATTTACATGGTGTAATGAAATGATGCGTTATCCCACATTCCTTGCAGAAGTGTTTAAATTATAAATTATTATAGATTGATATATATATATATATATATATATATATATAATTAATTAAACTTTTTTTATTATTAATCAAGATATTTTTTGAATATATTAAGAGACTTATATATCATATATTACATATAATTTTATTTCTTCAAAAATACTTATATATATATATATATATATTTTACTATTTTTGAGATGATGATATCAATTTATTTAGAATATCCATCACATAATATTTTAATTTTAATTATATATATATATATATATATATATATATACTACACCAAATCTTTACAAATTAATATGCCTAAAAATGTTTTGTTCAATTCTTTTTATAACCAATCAGAAGAAGAATAAAAGTACACTAATGAATTTAACAATTTAACAATTTCGATGTATCCGATAAATCTGTTGTGAATATTTATTAAAAAAATATGTAAATGTAGTGGAATTCATTCTATTGCAACACGTAATGAGGAACTAATAAATACAAGAATACAAAAACATGTAATTGGGTAACTGGATGAACGTGGATGATAAATACCAGGTGTTTCATCCGATTTTAGAATCAGGGTGATGGATGTGAAGTGTCCGCGACAGCTTCAAATCCCGTCCCGTCGCGTCGCGGCGCGGCTTCTGTGAGTGAGGAAATGAGAGCTGGGTTGTTGCCGCAACAGGATGGCGCGCGTGGCATTGCAAGCACCCTCTGCGTTAGATTAGGGCGGAGAAGCTGGGGTTTCGGAGGCCCTGGTGGTGCTGAAACAGAGACGGGAGCTGTAGATCTCCCAAGCGTTAGATAATGGACAGCGCTAACGGCAGCGAGGAGGATGCATTGTGGGGGAATGACGATGACGGCGGACAATGGAGCCATCAAGACTTGCCCAACGACGTGGAGGTGCTCAAACGCATATGGCGCAATGAGAAATCGGCCCCTGAAATTTTGGGCTACGAGACGTTGCTCGTGGAGCGCGTCCGAGAACAGATCGCTCTGATGGAGGAGAATCTTGCAGCGTACGCGGAGAGCTTGGACGACGTGATGCTGTCGCTCTTTGAAATGGACGTGAATCGGCTCATGTTCCTGTTACGAGCGTATCTTCGCGTTCGCTTGTCGAAAATTGAGAAATTCGCGTTGCACATTATGAGGACCGCAGAATTGTGGGACCGTCTTTCTGCACAGGAGCAGGAGTACGCGCAGAAGTTCGTGGATGTCCTGTCTAAGCACATGCACGACTCCGTTTTGGGAAAGTTGGAGAAAGCGTATGACTCGATGGTGAAGCAAGCTGCTTCAAGTGAGGAGAACGACATGATCGTGGAGCCGCAGTTGGACACATATGTCTTCTGCAGAAGTAAAACCGCTGTGGGTTCATTTCAACTCGACGATAAGTAAGCCATTCATGCCTGTAAGAATATCTGGTATAGTTTCCTAGTTGATACATTGGATAGAGCTAAAACAATTATGTGCTGAATCCTTTTTTCATACTGATGCTATTGATTGTTGGCCGAGCGGGTGGCAGAGGCGATGAAACTGTGGATTTGATGCCAAACGATCTTTACATCCTTAGGTACAGACCTGTGAGGGGTCTTTTAGGGACCGACAGCATCGAACTTGTATGAATTATAAATGCAAGCCTGAAACTCACGACGGGGAAAGAGAATCTTATGTCAGGTTAACTCTCTAGTCTTTGAAATCTTGACTTTCAATGACAAAGAGGATATGTCTGCATCTTGTACTCGGTCGCCTCACGAAGTCCTAAGCCACTCGTCATGGAGGGGAAAAGTTAGTGAAGAATTTAGACTATTGTGCAGGATTTCGCGCTTCAATTTGAACAATTACTAGGGATTAGCATCAGCCATTCATTAAGGTACTTCAAATCCATTATTTCTCCATGCATAACCCTTTGAATGCTAGTATTTTTTTCGATCTCAAAACCAATCGAGGTTTTTAGGGTTTCAGTTCTTTTGGGCCTTATTGACTGTTCGAAATCCGCGTTGCAGGGGGGAGGGGGGTTCTTCATTAAGCTTATTTGTATTTGCCTAATTGCAGTCTTCTGTCTACTCGTGCTTTTCTCTAGTCTAATAATCCAGCATATTCTGTTTATTTATCTCTGTAAGTAAACATCTGAATGCAGAGATGTTCGACGAAACCTTGACCTTTTCTTAAACACAACTTAGATCGTCTTTTACAGTGAATAGACAATAATGTAGCAGATGCTGCATTGAAGATTTTCTTTGATCGTCTCAGCTTCCAATGCATTATATTGATGCAAACTCTACATGTCTAATGCTGACTTCATCCATATTTCTGGATCCGCTGAAATTTATGGCTCGTAGCTTTAATCAACGGGTGTTTTAGAGTGATTAGTTCATGAAGCGGCTATCGGGACGGACTTATCGGCACTACCGTAAATTACTGTTATGAATGTGGACTTCACTCGAAAAGCACCCATTGCATTGGCACTTTTCCTTGTGACGTAAAAGTAACTTCTCACGTAAACATGAGCGACAAAGTATTTTCTTTTGAAGAGATGAAAACAATGCCATAACTACAAACACAGCAGTACAATAAAAGAGGCTTGAAACAACAAGAGAATAAATGATATCAATGTAACAGTGATGTCAGAATTGAGCTGGTATGGAAAAACGTGGTTATCATTTCTTGCAACAAGCTCGTGGTGATCCTCGTTGAGAAGACATTCTAGCCTGTACGGGGACGCCGTTTGTGAGATCGAATGTTGTGGGGCTGCATCTTTACTCTGCCGTCTTGCCAAGAACCGTAAAGTAGGACGAGAATTTGCAATGAAATGGCGTATATGTTTGAGAGACCTTGGAAGATAACATGAGTCACTGACGCCCACCAGTTCACTACCGGGTTTCATGCAATTTTATCAAAATCGGTTTGGCTGCTGAAAGGCATATCCATGTCCATGCGACACACCCATATCGTAGTCTTTGTGAAGAATGCTGTATATATCAGCCATATTGTTTCAAGAGAGTCCACGTGAAACGTCGTGTTGTTTACCTGTTTGTAAGTAGTAGCAAGATTTGCTTGTATTCATGGAATCAAGGCCAGATGCGATATAATCATGCTGTTGATACTGAATATAAACTTACTTTTCAATTGTTGCATTTGCTTATTGATGTAAAGTCCTTCATTTTGTTTTTTTATTATATATAAAAGTTGTTTCTTTTGTACATCAAATGAGTTATACATTGCAAGATGTCTATGTAGTTGCATTTAGAACAATAATTAAATTGAAAAACTCCCTTAAAAACCAAAACATTTATTGTATTTTGAGATAGGAGTATGTTGCCTAAGACATGGATTTTCATGGAAATACAAAACATTATTATTTAAGAACAAATCATTCCAAAAAATTCAAAATTAATCACAATTATTTATTTTTTTATAATTATTTTTAAGTATAAATTTTGACCATGTTGAAAACTCTTAATTAATGCCTAATATAACTTATAGATCTAAAGATTATCCATATTTATTGCAATGATGAAAATAAAAATATCAAAGTATTAGATGTTGTTGAGGTATAGAGAGTTTGCTTTAAGAAAGCATTAGGCTTCTAGCTGTTATAAAATATTCAACCAAGCCTTTAGATAAAGGAAATACCAAATCTATCTATAAAATTGTCCCTATATGGGCAATTAAATCCATACATAAGCCTTAAGTACCAAAGATCACCAAAAAATTGATAAAATATCATAAAAAAATTGTATATCCTTAAACTAAATTTTTCTTGAACTTCAACAGCTCATATCTCACGATCGGATCGTCCAAACAAATTCAAATTTTAAATGAAGTATTAATATATTTTTAACAACCACTACAACAAATTTCAATAGTAAATTCATTACAAATCTTGAGATATCACTAAAATTCTAACAATAACTTCAAACCCTTGCTTACATATACATCTGTGTAAATTTCTTCATATTTCACAAATTAAGTATTCAAATACCATAAAATTTAAATATATAGCTTTTGAATTCAATAACACATACTTTTAGAAACTTTTAGTCAAAAATTCATTTAGAAACTCATGATATGGCTCCAACCATTACTATCAACAAAATGACTTACTTACTGCTTCTGAATTACATGTATTATCTTCAATACTCTATAACTTCTTCATACAAACTCCAAATGCAAAAAATTCTTTATGCAAGAAGTAGATCTAAAAATCATCCTTGTAGCTGCACCTCTTGATCTCCAAAATCAACCACAAAACTCCTCGTAACCTCAAAACAACAATAATACATCTTAAACAATATCTTAACATAAACTTCATGTTTGTCGCCTATTATAAAAACTTAGAAATGCGAGATTATATTTCAAGTTGGAAAAGTGTGTATTCTATATTACTGAAGTTGACTTTTTAGGATACATCATTTCTAATGAAGGTCTTATGATGGATCCTAAGAAAGTCCAAACTATCATAGATTAGAAGATTCTAAGAATAGTATAAGATGTATAATACTTTTTGGGCTTTGTTAATTAGTATTAAATCTTCATTACGAACTTTTCTCAAGTTGTAGCTCTACTTATATGTTTGACTTATAAATGCAAACTTTAGTAGAATAAAGAAACAAAAGCATCATTTGTTGCTTTAAAGAAGGAATTTATTTCTACATTAATCTTGTATAATGTTGACTTCTCCAAGATAATTTTTATGAAAACAAACGTGTCAGACTTTGCTATGAGTGCCGTATTGTCACAAATGGAAACAAATAACAAACTCCATCTAATAACTTTCTTTTCCAAGGAATTTTGAGCAATTGAACTTAATTATGAGATCTATGACAAAAAAACTCCTTGCAATCATGAATTCATTTCAAGAATGGCATCATTATCTAAAAGGCGCTTCAAGTCCAATTACCATGTATAGGAATCATAAGAATCTTGAGTACTTTATGTTAGTACATGTTTTAAATTGTCGTTAAGCCCGTTGGAGCATGTCTTTATCCATATTTAATTTTTAAAATCACTTATCGACTTGAAAATCAACAAGGTCTATTGGACGTCCTTTCTAAACGTTCTTATCTTACACCAAAAGAAGGAGATACATCTTTTGATCAATAAAGAATGATTTTCTTGAAGCCTCAGTATTTTCATCTTTAAACAATAAAGTCAACATTGATTTTTGATTCAACCTTTATCAAGTAAATCTAATTAAGTATGTCCTCTGATCCTCTTGTTCATGATGTCAAGAATCTTTTTTCTAAGTCTTATGATATTTCAAAGTTTGTGTTCAATAACAACCTTCTCTATTTTGAAGGATGCATATATATTACAGAAGGAGAAGCATGTCTACGTGTTCTTCAAGCATGTCATGACTTGCCAACAACAGAACATTTTTTATACAATAAGACTTTAGAGCTTATATCTAAAGATTTTTAGTCGCCACAAATGTGAGAGAAAAAAAAAATTATACAATTATGTGATACTTGTTCAAGATCCAAAACTCCTCACCATCGATCTTATAGACTTCTTTAACCATTACCAATTCCAAAACAACCATAGTCTTCTGTTTCTATAGATTTTATTATGGATCTTTCAGTCTCAAGTTCACATGATTCCATATTTGTAATTATAGATCGCTTCACCAAAATGGCACATTTTATACTATTTACAAAATCTATTTGATGTGAAGAAACAACTGAGCTTTTTTTTGATAATATCTATTGCTATCATACATTGCCAAAAGATAATATAATAGATAGAGGGACTCAATTTGTATAAAGATTCTTAAGAATTCTATTCAAGATTCTAAAGATAGATATAAAACTTATTTTAGCTTTTTATCCTCAAATTGATGGGCAAATGAAACAAGTAAATCAAGTTTTGAAGCAGTATTTGAGGTGTACCATCAACTATCATCAAGATGATTGGACAACTCTTTTACTATTGGCAAAGTTTGCATGCAATAATTTGGTACATTCTTCTACTCAACAAACACCTTTTCTTGCTAATTATGGTTATCTTCTATAACTTCATACTCTTGACTTTTCAAAAGTTGATAATCTTGTGGCAAAAGATTTAGCAAATCATTTATCAAAGCTACATACAACAATGAAGATAAAATTAAAAGAAGCTCAAGAATGGCAAAAGATCAATGTGGATGCCTATTGCAAAGAGCAACCACAATTCAATATAGGTGACAAGGTATTATTACTTCGTCAAAATATCAAGACTACTCGCACTTGTAATAAGTTAGACTATTTTAGGCTAAGACCTTTTTCTATTTGTGAATAAATCAATCCTGTTGCTTATTGATTACATCTACCAAAGTCTACAAAGATCCACCCTATATTTCACATGTTCCTTCTTGAGCCGTAAAAGATAGTGAATATCTTGGGAAGAAGAAAAATATCACCTCCTCTTATAGAAGTGGATAATAATTAAGAACTTCGAGGTAGAAGAAGTCTTAGATTCAAGGTGGCATCAAAATAGGTTGGAATATCTTGTTCATTAGCATGGATATGATGTTAGCAAATTTACATGGGAACCAACAAAGAATCTTGCAAATGCAACAAAGAAGGTTGAGGCCTTTCATTGACGACATCCATCAAAATCAAGATAAAGAATTGCAAAGATCCATAAAAGATGATGACCGCTCCTTGTAAAACTCATTCCTAGAAGAGGGGATAATATCACGGACATATACATTTACCTCAATAGTTACTTATATGATTAGATAGAAATAGGTAAATATAGATCAATTTTATAAAGTCTTCTAGAAAAGCTTTCTAGAAGCTTCATAAACTTGGTTTTAACTTTAAATATATTTATAGGTTAGAAACTTGGCCAAGAAACTAATCACGTGTTAGTAGCTTGTGGAACAAGCTAACTATGTGGTACATACATAGATAACTTGCCTTGCAAGTTATGACATGTAATTAACAAAGTCAATATGTTTTGGAGGTCCTATAGGACATCGCCATGTAGCTTTTAGTTATAAGTATATAAGGAAGCAAGAGTGAAGCCTTCTTCACTCTTGTCAATGCTATTCTAGTCATCAGTCTTTTTTCAAGACTTTTTAGTCTTCTTATTTTTGGCAATAGCCATTCCACTTAATATTACATTACCTTTTGAGTGACTTTCTAATTCTCTTTAAGGACACAAGAATGTAATGAGGATTCTCTTTCTTTGAGATTCATGTCTCTGACACCTTCGACCAATAAGAATAAAGATCTTTACCTTTTGCCTTCATCCAACCATGCCTTGATTTCATCCCTCCCCATAAACCTTCTAGTAGTTTAGATTTTTATCCTTAGGCTTCTTCCTTCTCTTAAAGCTCTATACAAAACATCTAAATCTTATATAATTTAAATAATATAATAAAAATGGATAAAATTCAAAATAAAGTTTCTTATATCCACTCTCTTTAAATTAATTTATTAACAATTCTAACACACATTAAGACTTATGAATATAAAATATATTTTAAATATTTTTTACATACTATAAGTATTTACAATACAACAATGCTTAAATTTAATATAATAGGTCGATTGATGTAATATGATTTATCTATAGATTTTTAAAGAAATTTTCTAATGTATGGTCTACATGTGAATAATTATTCCAACAATCTTTATATTAACTTATTAACACTTTTCTTAATTAATATTCTTTCAAAAAACTCATACATGTTTTGGATTTTAGTATCATTTTTAAATTTTTGTACTTTCTTTCTTAAATATGTGTTATGGAGATTTTATAAAATAAACACTATAAGAGTAAACATATACATATCTTAACAATTATTTTTTAGAATTTTATTTATTTAATAGCTTACAAGTTTCCATGTATAGTAGCATATATAATCTTGTATTCTTATTTTTTTCCTTGCAAAAATAAAAATACATACTAATTTCTAAATTTTGAAACATAAAATTATTTAATAACAACTGATGTGTCAAAATGCAGCTTGACAGTATTAACAAACAATTTATATTCTAAAATTTAATAAATAAAAATAAAAACTTGTGTGATTCTCAATACGAGAGTGTGCAAATGATTGAAATTTGAATAATATTTGCAGTTCCAACCAATTCTCTAAACGCATGAAAAGTACCACCCAACTGGGATGGATCTGAAACAATGATACAAGATGGGGGTTTCCAAAGGCTAAAGGTGGAAGCCCTTCGGACCCAAAGCCGAGGGAGGCCCATAACCGAGTAGGGCCCATAGCCGAGTGGGGCCCATAGCCGAGTGGGGCCCAAAGCCAATGGGGAGGAGGACCCGGCGCAGAAAGCCGAAGGCAGAATGCAGAAGAAGAATGCTCAAGGGACACACAACGAGGAGAGAAAGCGAGAGAGAGAGAGAAGCAAAGGCGACGGATGAGGAGCGGCGGCCGCATTTCCTCCTCCTCCTCCGTACCTTCCTGAATTGCGTTATTTAACCACCTCGCTGCGCCGCACTGATCACCATCACCATTCCCCAGCTCAGCACCCTGTGTGGAATCTAATCCCCAGCGGGTGGTTCTCGAGACAATCAGCTTGGTTGCGCGTGCTCCTCCTAGTAGACTTCTGTCGGAGGGCTCTGTGTGGGGTATGGGACACGCTTGCTGCATTTTGGAGGAGAGAGTTTTGGGGGAGGACTACTGTGGGTTTTGAAGACGTGGGACAAGATTTTGGGTGGAATGCTCGCTCTGCGTTGTGTTAAAGGGCGTGTCTAGCTACGGAATTGAGCGCGCTGTGACTGGTTTGGGGCTGCTGATACTGGCGGCTGGAGAAGACGCAGCGAGTGAGGGGGTGTTTTCTGTGTACTGCTGTTTCCTTGCACCGAGGCATTCGAGTGTTAGTGCGAAGTGGTTGGGTGAAGATGAAGTATGTGATTGTTACTGGAGGTGTGGTTAGTGGCCTCGGAAAGGGGGTCACGGCCAGCAGTATCGGCGTGGTGCTTAAGGCCTGTGGTTTGCGGGTTACCTCGATCAAAATTGGTACGTGCATTGTAGGAAGCTGGTTATTTTCGATCGAGTTGTGCCGTAAGATCAGGTTTTGGCGCAGGGTTTAGGGTTTAGGGTTTGGGTAAATTCATCTGCAATCACGGATTAGCTGATACTAGCGTTGCGGAGGGCGTGTTGAAGTCTTCGGATTCATGAAGCCTAGACTTTTCTTTCAATAATGTGGTTCCATGTGAAATAGTCAAAAGTATTTGACCTTCATTCTAGTTGACGATGATTTGTTTGAACTCAGTTAGAGTTTGTTCGTTTAGAACGAGTGTAATTGCTTTCTGATGCTGCTTGTCTCATTTTGTGCACCCCCAGATCCGTATTTGAACACCGATGCGGGGACTATGTCACCATTCGAACATGGAGAAGTCTTTGTTTTAGACGATGGCGGTGAGGTGAGCGATGGGGAATCTTGATTTCTGGTACAAAATAGTTAACATTGTTGAAATACGAGACTGCTTGCGAGCTGGTAGCAGGTGACGTGAAGAAGCCAATGCGCTTCGCACTTTTCTTGGTTTGTAGTCTGATTTTAATGTATATGTACTGACCGATTCGTGGGATTAAGTGACAAGGCTGATTGTCTCAAGGGTGTTCTAGGAATGTTCTCCTACAAGCTGCGTCTAGTTGGTGCTTCTCCAATTTTATGAAAATTATCTTGTGCTTTGTTGAATGTGTAGGTAGATTTGGACCTTGGTAACTATGAGCGATTTTTGGACGTTACTTTGACTCGCGACAACAATATCACTACCGGAAAAATTTACCAGGTATCAGGCAGAATACATATTAGAATTGTTCTATCATTACGTGTAATTCTAACAGTATTTGTGGTAATTCTGTATGCGGTTCCCTTTAATATACGTTCGTTGAGGGTTTTGAATTGGATTTAATATAAATACTGACCGATTCGTGGGTTTAAGGGTACTGCTCGATTTTCTTAGTATCTATTAAAATGGCTTACTTTCCTGGTGTTAATACGTCATTTTTTGGCTGAAGGGTAATACCTGGCTGCATTCTGTTCTCTAGTTCATTGATGTCGGATCCGATTACTATGGTTCTACAGGCAGTAATAGAGAAGGAGAGGCGAGGTGACTTTCTGGGGAAAACTGTACAGGTTTTTGACTCTCAAACTATCAGCCTCTATCTCGGTTTTTTGGTCAATCGTTGTCTCCTTTGTAACGGATAATTACATGCCATATACAGGTTTATATGTTGATTGGGACTGGGCATGCTACTACATTTAGCTGGGAGAAGACTACTGCGGTTCCTAGTTATCAGTTAAGTCTACTCATTTTTACCGTACGAATGATTAGATAATAATATCTTGTGGTGGTACATGTCGGTCATGAGATAGGTTGTACCACACATCACAGATGCCATCCAGGACTGGATTGAACGAGTTGCCAATGTACCAGTGGACGGACTCTCCGGGTGTGCGGATGTTTGTGTCATTGAGCTGGGAGGCACTGTTGGTATATTTCTACACTTCATTTGTTTCATGATTTCTGGACGGCGTTTATGTTTGGGGTCAGGTCTCTGTCAGAATGCAGTGTGAATGGTTGTTCAAGAAGAGAGTGTCCTCCATTGCGGCGTCTCTTCAAGTAATTGTGTCCCTGTGTGGGTTGGGCTTTTATTTCCTTGATTTTTCACCACGTTCATGCTCTTCTCCAGTTGTGTACTCTACATTGCAAAGCAGTGCAGATTGATTGTGGATTTATGTTCTCTTCTTTATTAGACTACTGTATCAATAATTGGGTTAACCGAACTTAGTATGCAGGTGATATTGAGTCCATGCCTTTTGTTGAAGCTCTTCGACAGTTTCAGTTCCGAGTTGGTAATTTCCTAAATCACTCCTTAGTTTTCAGTGGCTGGAGACAATCCTGTTGATGTGATAGCAATTGCTACTCTTGTTACGTTGAGTGTTTTCATCGAACTAGCTTTGATAAGTAGTTCCTCACTTGACGATTTGTCGTGCAGGTAGGGATAACTTCTGTTTAGTGCACGTGAGCTTGGTTCCCGTTCTCGGTGTGGTGGGCGAGCAGGTTGGAACAATGATCTCGTTTATACTATGTTTTTAATTATGTTCCTAATTTAAAGGAACTATTGGGACTTTGGGTTGCGTACTTGCCTAATACTTTCAACTGTTTACGCTTTTTAGTTTGAATTTGAGCCCTTCATTGACCTTGTAAATGTCTGAATGTTTCAACAGAAGACGAAACCAACTCAACACAGTGTTCGGGAACTTCGGGCACTTGGTCTAACTCCTCACTTGCTGGCTTGCCGAAGCGCTCAGGTAAATCCCCAAATGATATATATACACACACATATCTTTTTGCCTTTGTCTTTACAAGTTATTTGTGCAATAAAATAAATTTGAAGTAAAAAGATTGTAGTAGATTATTTTACAGGGGTCCTTGACATTTGGTTTCTTTGACGCAGCCCTTGGAGCAGGTCACTAAAGAAAAGCTCTCTCAGTTTTGTCACGTTCCAGTAAGTGGTGTACATCTTCAGTTTATGAGTTATCTGCCATACTTACGACATCCTCTTCGCTCTTTTGGAGGATGACATTCTGTTGGATTCGTTTGATGCTATTTTCCTAGGAAGGCATGTGATTTGCACATCGATTTCCCAAGGTTACACGTTGGTATTATTTTATAGAGTTTCTGCACGAAGGATTGTAAGAATTAATGTCAATGTTACTGAATGGATTGGATGTGCAGGCTGAGAATATAATTAACATATACGACGTTTCCAACATATGGCACATTCCTCTATTGCTGCGAGTATGGTTTCTTTTCAACAAGTACCTCCTAGTATTGTGCGCGTTGTAGTAGCAACTTCAATTGTGATATCTGGTTTGAGAAGAATATTGCAGATCTTAGACGTCTTCTTTGCTATCAGTTCTGTATCTTCTCACAACAGATGTGGTGAATAATTAAACTACCGAAAAGTCAACTCCTCTAAGTCATTCTAAAGCCGTGTTCTGTGAATGTTTACGAAATGAACAGGATCAGCAAGGGCACCTAGCAGTACTTAACAAACTGCAACTGAGGTGGGTCTCTAATGTTTGCGTGTCCCTTTCTGTATTGGAAGTTGGTTTTGTGTTGGATATGTTAGTCTAAAAAGGAAAACAATCGACATCTTAGTGCTGTAATCGACATTGTCGTATTTTTATAATGTATTATGCAGTTCTGCACCACCTCCAGCGTTGGATTCATGGGCTGCGCGAGCTGAGCGATGTGACAACCTTACTATCCCAGTAATTCTTCTGACTTTCAACTTCTTTTTGTAATGAACACAATATGGCAGTCTTCTAATTCGATGATGTTTGTTTGTCTATTTTGCATTGTCTTCACTGTGAGAAGTTTGTTTTTTTTTTACGTTAAATGGATGTTTCTTTGCAGGTGAAAATTGCTATGGTCGGAAAGTACACGGGTCTTTCTGATTCCTATCTCTCAGTCCTCAAGGTAGTATTCAAAATCGATCTTAATGTACTTTTCGCAGTCTATTATCTGAAAAAACTGTGCTTCATACACATTCAAACTAATATTGCAGCCGACCAGAATGTCATTATAGCTGAGTCAGTGTTCCAGCATTCTTTTACATATCCAGCATCATTCATCCAGACTTTGGTAATTTGGATCCAGGAGTTCTCTACAGAATTTGATTTTTTGTGGGTATGGTCAGGCATTGCAACATGCATGCATTGCATGCTCAAGGAAGTTAGTGTTGGAGTGGGTTGCCGCCACCGATCTAGAGGATCGTGCTAAGGAGCAGGTATTATTGACTGTACCTGATTAGCGAAGGTGTAAAGAGTGTTGAACTAGGCCATTGTCGGGATACATGGGTTATTTTTGTGAGGTGATAAACATGCGTATGGTCGACTTTGGGCATACTCAAAATAATAAGAGTATGTAATTTGCTCTTGTATAGTTGAGGCTGAATTGTTTTCTATCCACTTGTGCAGACTCCAGAGGCATATGCTTCCGCGTGGAATACCTTAAAAGTATATCATCGGACCTGTTTGCACCACTGTTTGTGCATAATCTTACTTGCACTCGGTGTCATTCTAATTTGTGTGCTTGCTTAATATGCTTGATGCATATTTGCGATATTTACGATAGTTCAGCTACTTGTTGTGGCGTATTGATTTTTTAATTATGTCTTGCACAGAATACCCATGGTGTGCTTGTGCCTGGTGGATTTGGTGATCGAGGAGTACAAGGAAAGATCTTAGCTGCTACTTATGCACGTGAAAACGGAGTACCGTACCTGGGGATTTGTCTTGGAATGCAGCTTGCTGTTGTGGAATTTGCTAGAAATGTATGCATCCTTTTTTCTTTCACCTATATTTCCGATTTTTCTGTTGTGTTTTGCAACTATTTAGTAATGGAATGTAATGATGATCTAAACAAGATGGATTTCTACTTTAAACTATGTTCACTCGAGCGAAGACGAGTAAAATATTTGATACCTTCTTAGAAGTAACCCTCTGTTAATATTTGGTCGTGGCTGATAGGTCCTTGGGTTGAAAGACGCTAACAGCACTGAGTTTGACTCTGCCACACCGCATCCTTGCGTTGTTTTCATGCCAGAGGTGTGTAATCTTCTTCTTTTTCTTTAAGCCTCTTAAGTTAAACTGATTTAGAAGCTTCATTTATGGTTGTAAATTGAGATATCTGAGCTACTCAAGTTCCTCGAATTGTTTCCCGAGTTCTTCATTAATGCAACTCCAAGAGATTTGATGTGCCATTGAGTGCTTTTACGTTTCTGACTGTGAAGGTCTCCAAAACACAAATGGGTGGTACAATGAGACTGGGAGCTCGCAAGACATTGCTACAAACTGCTGATTGCATATCCGCTAAATTGTAAGTTTTGTTAAGCTACGGTTGAGCAATTGGTTAAGCTGTTCTGCCAATTTAGTCCGTTTCCGCCTGCTGCTCATATCTTTGCGTCTGTTTGAGTTATTCATCTTTTTTCAGTTTCTTTTCTTTGTTTCGTGTTCGTAGCTTTCGAGTTCTGTTTTATCTGAACGTTTTTGATCCGTCTGTTTCTTGTAGGTATCAGAAGGATACATATGTAGATGAACGGCATAGACATCGTTATGAGGTATTGATCATTTATCCTTCATGTTGTGTCAGACACTTGAGAAACTATTTACATTTTTTCTATTGCAATCTACTTGCCTGTTTAACCTAAGGTTACTTGTATTGGCAGGTGAATCCAGAGATGGTTGAGAGTATAGAAGCTGCAGGACTTCACTTCGTTGGGAAGGATACGACGGGACGTAGGATGGAGGTATCTTATAGCTGACTATTACTACACTAAGAACCGTTAGTTGAATTATATGTGATTTGCAAAGAGATGCATTTGCTATTAGTTCTCACGCTAGTTTCGAATTCTAGTCTTAGTTCTTAGATGACAAGGTGAACATAAACCATGCTCCTAATTCGGTGCTTCCATGCAATCTTGTTTCTGTTCAGATTTTGGAGCTGAAGGGGCATCCATATTACGTAGGTGTTCAATTTCATCCAGAGTTCAAATCGCGCCCCGGCAAACCTTCTGCGGTCTTTTTAGGTGAGGTTCCTGGTTAAATTGGTCCTCAAATTCAGCCCTATTGTGTGTTAATCTGCATGTCAACTTGCGGTTCATTAGTTACCTCAGCCATTTTGTGTAAGGTCATTTCTCTGATATGGAATGCTTAGTCCTAACTTAAATTGGGTAGCTTTCAAGCAATAAATTTAACTTGGATTTAGTACATTGCGACGTTAACATGGAATCTCACCCTCATCTCTAATTTACTTTTTCAGGTAGTGTACATAAACAAGTAACATCCTTGAGGACGAAAGTTATGATTCAGCATATTTTACGTGTGATTTTGCCGTAGTGGTAATAATTTTTGGTCCTCATGTGCAGGTTTGATTTTAGCTGCGTCAGGTCAGATGGATTCTTACATCAACGGAGTGCATCCATCCACAAAACTAGCGAGATCAACATCTGAGACTATTCATCCCACTCCCGACTACAAGCATGCTGATTAATCTGTATGCATTTCTTCAGACTGTGCATAAAATTTCGCCGCCTAGAGTAGATTTTTCCCACTATATCTGTTTTAATTGGTTCGGTTGCCAGAGTACCGTAAACCATTTTTTTCACCAAGTGCGTAAATTGTGAACCAAGTATTTACCGTTTTGAGAGAAATGATTCTTCCCCAAGTTACTGGATTTTTCGCCTTGTGACGGATGTGGAGATGATTTTGCAATTCTGGCACTGTTCATGCTTGTGCATTTGACACACTTTAACCCTGTCTGCAAGTGACTGTGTGTCATTTCGATATAAGACCCGTACTATTTGGTTATTATGAAGTCGAAGAATGTGCAGTGCATTTGGTGCACTCAACAAAGTCCAAAAAAGGAAGACTGTTTATGCTGCGAAAGCACTGATTTAAGTGGTCCAAACCTTTCTTTGCATGTAAATTTCATGAGTATATTTCCGAATACAACCGCTATGATGTGTTGTCGTTGGTGTGTTCACCTCATTTCCATCAATTGAGCGATTTGCATATGTGGACTTGTGTATTATGCTGTGAACGATTGGATTCAAATGTAGCCAAGGAACACAGTGCCTAACAGTAGTATCGATACTTGCACATGCGTAGTGGATTGACAGTATTAACTACAGTTGAAATACCCAATATTGCAACCTGCGTACAAAGTTTTGATTCTAATTCGTTCATGCAAATAGTGCTGAGACAAATCATATCTCAATATGTTAACATACAAAAAGAAATAAAATAATGTAAAATAAACTACTGCTTTACTTTGAGCGCATTTTAACATATGGTACTCAATTATTATTATTATTATTGTTGTTGTTGTTCTATTATCTAATAACTTGGAAAATATATTCGACATTATAACAGTTTTTCCCGTGATATTTGCCCAAATGATGGGAGAAAATCACGATGGAATGAATGGCATGAAACTCGTCGCTCTTAAAGCAAATAAAACGTTTGTTAAGTTTTTTTTATAAAATTTATGATTGCATGGCACTCTTTATATCCCTTTTTTTATTTGAAACATTAAAAAGTCATTATCTTCATGCTGGGTTTTTCCTTTACAGAGGTTTGGATAGAATGTAGCTGGGATTTGAATTGCCAACCTAACAGTACTATATGAGAAAATTTGCTCATGCACAAATTTTTGAAGTCATTTCGTTTTATACAATATTCTCCAAATATTTTTTTTGTGACAGTAATAAAAAAATAATAATTAGATTTAAAAGTGCAAAAATTTTAAGTTCCACATTTTTTCATGATAATATTTTTTGCAAATTAAATCCTTCCGAAAAATAGCACAAAAAGACCTTTCGAAATGAATAATTTTCATCCCAAAGATTATTTTTATGAGTGTGACTATTTTTATGGGATAATTATATGACCCCATTGTTGACATAGTCTCTAAAAATCTAAAGTAAGAAATGAAATAAATTAATAATATATTTTTAAGGTGAGAAAATTTAATCAAACAATCAAGGTTGACATTGGATTTACACCATGCAATGTGGTGTTGTGATGAGGGTTGTTTGTTAGCACTCCCAGCATGAAACTGAATGAATATTGTGTTGTTACAATTAATGCACTTTAGAATGTGGTTGAAAATCAATTTTTGGCTTGACAATTAGAAGAAATAAATACATATTCATGAATAACCTATCTAAAAAAACACTGGAAGTAAAAAATATTGGAGCACATAAGGAGTGAAGTGGAGAATATAAACATCTATTCTCAATATTTTCAATTGAACTATTTTTTTTTTTTTTAACATCAGTAAGAAAGAAAAGCTTAACCCAAAACACAAAACATGTCAGACTTAAAATTTAAAAAGTAAACTTGAAAAGTGCAAGCCCAGGTCCCCAAACTATCTTTTCTAAATCATAGAGGACGTGTCTCAAAAACAACACCCTTGGGTCACCACCTCAAACAAGGTTCTCCAAAATGATCACCAGCACATATACACACAAAAAAAAAAAAAAAAAAAAAAAAAGGAAAAAAAAAAGACAAAAAAGACAAAAAAAAAGACAAAAAAAAGATAGTTGAGGAAGAAAGATAGAGAGAGGATCAGAAGCGTATAAAAGAAGACACACACGCACATATCTATATATATATATATATATCATTGAGTCACACAACTGATTCCACGACCCCAATTCGGAAGAACAAACCTCATTCATACTCTCTCTTAGAGGCTTGGATGGAATCAATCCCATGAGACCAGGGGTTCCGTCCCCAATCCATGAATTGAATGTGGACCAATACAGAAGCGACAAAAAGGACCAAGGTGCTGCTTTTGCTTGGAGGCGGGGGCCGCCTGGAAATGGCCTTTATAATCCATATCAATGGAGGCACAAAAGGCAAAGTAAAGGCAAAGGAAAGGGAGGGATGGGGCGGAGAACAGGCACACAATCCCATGCACTCACTCACTACTCACTCACTGACAAAGCCTCTCCTCTCCTCTACATCATGCTGGCATGCAAATATGGTATTGTGCTGAGCTGGACTGTCTGCGCCCCTCCTTCTTGACTCTTCGCCCAATGGAATTCTTATTCGTCTTCGTCGTCATGTACTTCTCGTAAATCTTCGACAAGCTTCGCCTGCCCCGACCCTCTCCTCCTCCTCCTGCCCACACCCTATGCACGCAAATAGAGTAGAGCTGGGTGTGGGCACACCCTCCTCCTCCTCCTCCTCCTGTCAAGAGCTCGCCCCCACTGCTGAGGACCTGCTGCCCCTCCCTCTACTAAGTTACTGTACAGGGCTGCTGTTGTCATCGTCTCTCTCGTGCTGGACTACTCCCCCCCCCCCCTTCCCCTTCCTCTCTCTCTTTTCCTGTCTGTCTTTCTGGGTCCTGCTTCTTTCACGTATTGTCATGAAAATCTTCGATGACAGTGTCTTGCTTCGCACGGAAACTGCAACAGATATGGGTTTCTTTGGTAGTTGATCAAACTTAAGCCTTCTGTTTGTAATATACGTATCCAAGATCGGATCATTTGGGGGGGGGGTCCGGATCGTGGTTTCGGATTCGGTGTTTCGAATAATGAATACTTCGTTCAATCTGAAATATAGGGCTTTGCTGATTGCATCGTGATTTAATGCCTGGCATGAATAATCGTCTTTTTCTTATTCGTTCGTTCATTCATCATTCCCTTCTTCAATATTAGAAAATGAGTGTGCCATGTTCAGAATTGTCCTTTTGCCCTGTGAGTTTGCTAAAGGGTGGGCTACAGGGTAAATGACTTTCATGTGTGGTGAAATGCGTGTACTGTAATGGCATCTATGCGTGGAATCATCGCATTGTACAAAACAGTTTTTATACAACGTTTACTTCGTCATTTTTTTTTTTAAATGAGTAATAAATTACTTCTCATTCTTTCTTGTGAGTCTGACTCCAGTTCAATAAATAATAAAGGGGGCTGGGCTGTGGAAATTACAAGGGGAATCCTGTTGCTCGACCACTGAGTTGACGAGTGATGATTCCTGATTTTCGAACAAGCGAACTGCTACATCTTTATAATCTCTTCTTCACATTTCCAAATTACTTGATGAAATCATGTCTCGCCGTAGGAAAAGGGAATGAAATTGAAATCGAAATTGGAACTAGAGACTTTTGAAGATTAAGCGCGATAAGTCGCTACTTAACTGTTACAAATCATCCAGCGATCTAACCGGGATATGGGAATTCGAGCCTCATTGGCGAAGAATGATCGACGCCTTCCCATTAGGTCCGTCGATCGCGGTGGAAGGAGAAAGCAGAGCCGATTTGACGGTCCAGGGGCCACCAAATTGGTGGTATTTGAGGTTGCGTTGCGACAAACGAAGACTGAGTAAAAGAAACCGACAGTACCCATGCTGCCCGAAGTTCATATGAAGCTTTGGTTGAACATGATACTAGGAGTTTGTACTGCTCTCTATTCGTCAGTTTGTATCAATCAGTAATTTTGAAATGTAAAAACATTTTTTTAAATGGCTTTGAAGGATTCAACCCGGTCTGCAGTACCCTTGAGCATCATCTTTACAGGTGACATCTTTACAGGCGGACTTGGAAGAGCTCTGTATGTTCTCGACACGGGCATGGTTGCATTTAAAGCGTTCATGCTTCTTAGAGGTATCCGAGTGCAACCTTATGACACCAACACTCCATAGTAACCATACATCTAAAGAGGTTACCGATTGGGTTCTGGGTTATTGTTGTTGGTATTTTTGTGCCTTGTTTCTGTTTTAAAATATTGTGGGGAATGCTACTCCCGTTTGGTTGTTGTTCCATACTGTGCGGTGTGGTGCTTTGCACAGCGAGAGAGAAGGGAGGTTTTAACCACTGAAAGGAAGAACAGAAGAAAAATCTGAAAACGAATAGGAAAGAGGGAGTAAGCGTGGCTTTTGTGGTTTACGTAAGTCGAAGTTTGTTGCAGAGTGCCTTATTGAGTAGTAAGGTCCTCCTCGTTGTGTAGCGACCAGGCCCACTGTGCATGTAAGATAACTGGTAGAAGTTTCAGTATACATCGCATAGCTTTGTTCAGTCAACGATAGTTGCATTATCTTGAGATTACATTCTCGAGGTCAGAAGCAAGTTTGATTCTTGAGTTTCAGGAGAGTGATTCACATTTGAGCTCTTTGTTTTGAACGGTCTGCTTGGTCAAACATACTTTCGATGCTGGATCATTCAAGGAATTTTTCGGCGGATCCTCAACTAAAGCTCAAGAATACAAAGTTTAGGAATGTTGGATGAAGGCTGACTCTGCTTTGTGGCCCTTACCCGACATAAACGTAGGTAGTCGACATCAATCCGAGTGGAGATGCTGACCGAGCGACTCTGATATGTTTCTATTTGAAGTCGTTGCAATTTGAGCGTTTAGGTTATCCCATTAGAATTTAGGTTTTATTCAGGCAGTTGGGAGGAATAGCGAGGACTTTGTCTTTCAAGAACGTGCCATTCTCTATTTAGGGTTGTAAATTCTTCAAGAAAGAATTAGACGCACTTTGTAGAACCAGGAACGATGCTTTATGTGACAGGTTCGAATAGAACCTCGTACAAAGATATACTTATAAACTTCCGTCCAGATGCCTCTTCTCAAATATGGAAGCGTAAAGTCTTGATAATCGTGCTCCCAGGCATGGTCACGTCGTAGCATACACATTTCAGCTTTGGATCATAACATTCAGCATTTACATC